TTCCCCCTCCTGAGGCGCCGGACGGTTTGCCAGAATCTCTTCGAGGCCGACTGATAGTCCTTCTCCATGGCCTCACCGAACTCTTCCCAGACCCGAGTTTTTGCCTCCGCAACCGCCTGGGCTGCAGCCCGCTTGGCCTGCAGCCCGCTTGGCCTGCCGGTACCCGTAGCTGTCTCAGAAACCGGTACCTGTCAGCTGCCTCAGGAGTCCCACGAGCCAACCAGGCTCAAAAGGACTCCTTCTTCAGCTTGATGGCATCCCTTACTTCTGGTGTCCACCACCGGGTTCGGGGATTGCCACCATGACAGGCGCCAGAGACCTTACGGCCACAGCTCCGAACGGCCGCATCGACAATGGAGGTGGAGAATATGGTCCACTCGGACTCGATATCTCCAGCCTCCCCCGGGATCTGGTCAAAGCTCTGCCGGAGGCGGGAGTTGAAGATCTCTCTGACAGGGGATTCTGCTAAATGTTCCCAACAGACCCTCACAATACGTTTGGGTCTGCTGAGTCTGTCCAGCTTCCTCCCCCGTCGTCGGATCCAGCTCACCACCAGGTGGTGATCAGTTGACGGCGCCGCCCCTCTCTTCACCCAAGTGTCCAAGACATGCGGCCAGAGGTCAAAAGAAACCACCACAAAGTCGATCATCGACCTCCGGCCTAGGGTGTCCTGGTGCCATGTGCACTGATGGACACCCTTATGCTTGAACATGAGGGTGTCCATCAGTGCACATGGAAAATCAACGGAAGTAAAAAGCTATTGCTAGGCTATAAACTAACTATACCATGATCCCATGACATAATCCAACTTGTAATTTGATTTCCAACACTTACTTCCTCTACAAAACACTTTCCTCGTAGCCCAGCCTTTTCTAGCTGCTGATCATGTCTGTGTCAGTTAGTTAGAATAGGTTGCAAGTGTGCAAGTTTAAAAGTAACAAAACTGTAAAGGTGGACTTGTGAGTGAATGAGTCTTTGTGATGACATGTAAAATCCCCGCTGTAATCTCATTTAGCTACTTGTTAGCAACTGCTTGTTAAGACACGTAAAAACATAAAAAAAATCATAAGTGAGGGATTTACTGACATTTTATTTCATAGAATAAAACATGAAAATGTATTGGCCTTGTGTTAACCACAGACCTTATTTCAGGCATCTAACCAAAAACCTGAAGTGCAAAGATGCCAACTCAGTTACGGGTTTTATGCCTCGACCACTATGGCACTCTATGGTCTTCTCTCTATGTACATGTAGAGCAGATGGTAGTAGAGGGATTTAAGTTATTGTCTATACTAACTGAAAATATATTTGTTGTATATCCACTGATTATTATACATTATCTACATTTTGCTTTTGCTTTGTAGTGATCACACTGTCTATAATTGAGGCCATCATTGTGATTGTGCTGATATTTCTGAGGACAAGACTGTGCATCGCTATTGCATTACTGAAGGAGGGAAGCAAGTAAGTGTGGATATAAGCTGTCTTGTCTTCTTAAAATGTAATACTGTGTTTGACTCTTGAACAACGTTTGATCTTTTGTTTTTCAGGGCCATCAGCTACATCATGTCCACACTCTTCTACCCTATTATCACCTTTTTCCTTCTGGCCATCTGCATCACTTATTGGGCCATCACAGCAGTGTATCCTTCTGATTGCTGGATGAACTACAGTATTTTATTCAGAGAAGTACAGGGAACCTGCTTCTTCCATGCATTCTGTGGTGGTTTTGCCATTACTATTTTCTACATCATGTTAATTGAGATTATCAGCGAACTCAGTTAACAGATTGTGCAGTGCTACTGGTGAAACGTTATAGAAAATGGGCTATGCTTCTTTCAGTTGGTGTTTTAAGATTTTAAAAGCAAAGGCAAAATGGTAACAAGCTGGTGTTCTAGTATGAGACTTCCTAGCTTAAATAATTTGACAGTACATAGACACTTACATATATACAATCTAATGAAAGTATTAACACTAAGGTGACCATCTTACCAGTAATCACTGATTGTTGTGTGTAGGAAATTCACCCTTATGTTGCCCTTAACTGATTTGTCCTCAGCTTCTTAGCATCATCTGGTAATGCCGTCTATAAGGTCACACCATCTGATGGTAAATGCATGTATGCCAACCTCACATGCAATCCAAAGGTTAGCCCCATACCCTGTGATACCATTAAGTGCATTTACTGAATAAATACTGTGTCTGGAATGTGTATGTTTATTTAGCTGTTTCATTTTTTGAAAATTACTTGTGTTTGTAACTGTGCAATGTCCCTGCCAGTTCTTGGTCTATGAAAAATTTCTTGGTCAGCTTTTTTTGTCACGCTCAACTTTAAGCAAATGTTTCTTTACTGCCTGTAAGTAAAACCTGAATTTTGTGTGAGAACCATTAGAATCAGTGTGTTCTTACATCAGTGGCTGACAGCTACAGCATAAATGCCTGTTTGACATACTGTAAGTTATTTATCAGCCTGCTTGCTCTCCATGGTTTGTTTATTTTTATTTATGTGAGCATCTAAAAGGATTAATATGCCTTCTGGTCACACACCATTTAGTAACTCCAGGATTACCTAAAAGCCATACATTGAGAAATGGTGCATTTGCAGACAAAACAGAGGTGCAAAGAAGGAAAAAGAAAAAAAAATTCACACTAGTGGTTTTTTGTGATCTAGTGGAGTAACAGAAATCTTAAAGGAGATATTACTTCACTGTCTAACCACATGTCAAGATTAAATATGCTGCTTTGTTTCAGACCTTCAATCAGACCAACATCACCAAAGCATGCCCCGGGTCACAATGTCTGTTCGCCTTCTATGGTGGGGAGAGTGTCTACCATCGCTACATCATAGTCCTCCAACTGTGTAACGTGTTCGTGTTCCTCTGGCTGGCCAACTTTGTCATCGCCTTGGGCCAGTGCACCCTGGCTGGGGCCTTCGCATCCTACTACTGGGCCCTGAAGAAGCCAAATGACATCCCCGCCTGCCCCCTGTATTTGTCATTTAGCAGAGCCATACGGTAGGGAGCTGCATGGACAGAGATGTCGTATCTTTCAGTATACAAGACACATCATACAGGACGAAGTCAGGAATGAACAAAAGCTGCTTGCCTCATAAAACAGAATCAAAATAAGGAATTTCCCATCACAAGCATCAGCTGAGTCTGTTAAGAAGTTGACAGGCGTTTCTTACTGTAGGTTTACTTGTAATTTAAAAAAAATTTAGTTTAACACTCTGCCTATGCAAATGTTCACCTACAATTTATATTGTTTTTTTTTGTTACAGTTATCACACAGGTTCCCTTGCCTTCGGTTCGCTGATCCTCGCTGTGGTGCAGATGGTCCGAGTTGTTCTTGAATACCTGGATCACAAACTAAAAGGTAAGCTGTAACTCCTACAGACACTGATATTCCCACTCTGTTTTTACACTTCAAGTGTAAGGTTAATAATTAATCATATTTTCCCAGGTTCTCAAAACATCTGCACTCGATACTTGCTTTGTTGCCTCAAATGCTGCTTCTGGTGCCTGGAACATTTCCTCAAGTTCATAAATAGAAATGCATACATAATGGTGAGTTGTGAAGTATTGGAATATCTGTCAGCAGTTCATCTGTTAATTGGCCTGGCTTGTGATCAGTACTTACTGTAACTACCTTCTACTAAGCACTGTCTACCTATTTCTCCCCAACAGATAGCAATATATGGGAAGAGCTTCTGCACCTCTTCCAAGGATGCATTCTTCCTCTTGATGAGGAATGTTATTCGGTAAGACCTTTGTTATATTTCTGTGCCAGCTCCACATGTCTAAAAAGGTTCAGAGTGCAGAGGATTTGCAGCTAAGAGGCACTCTACAGTACTGGACAATAAAGTTGCACATTTCTATTTTAAAATTAGGTTTTTCCACTAATTGTCAGAAACTGCACGCGATGCTGCTGAAAAGTGTTTAGTGAACTCAATTAAAAGGCCAGACGAGGAAGTGTTGAACAAAACCGTCTCTTTAATAAGAGAACTAAAACTAAACAAAACCATACGAGACAAGGTGAAACACAAAACTCATGGTCAGTATCAGTCCCAGGTCAGAGCCAGCAAACACATACATCCAGGGGAATCCAAAGTTCGTTGTCCAAAAGGGAAAGTCCGATAATCATACACCGTGGCAGTCCGTAACAAGAGGGCGAGGCAGAATAGAATAGTCCGAGGTAACAGTCCGGGATCAGAAACACAAAATACCAAAACCGAAGAAAATGCTGGAAAGTCAGAGCTGGGGTCTAGAACAATCTGGCAGCGTCCTGGTGGGAGGACACTGCCTAAATAGAGGTGCAAACAATAACGAAACAGGTGAAACCAATGTGAGTGATGAAGAATGTAAAAAGACCGAAACTAAGTTGAAACAAAAACAGGAAGTAACGTCAAAATAAAAGCCGGACAGGAAGCAGCGGAACCGAATCATGACACTAATAAAATTTTGCTAAGATGCCAGAATACCAAATATGACATTGGAAGAGATTTAAAAAATGTGGGTTTTCTGTATTCAAGTCAAGAAAATTTTCCTAATTATTTAATGATGTGTGCACTTTCCAAAGTCTCTCTTGAGTGTGTGTGTCAGCACGCAACACTGTGTTCACCATGTTTCTGCTGTGTGTGTTTCTCCTCCATTCTGGTGTTTCCTTGCCTCCTCTGCAGGGTGGCTGTCCTGGACAAGGTGACAGACTTTCTGCTATTCTTGGGAAAACTGCTTATTTCAGGATGTGTTGGTGAGTGTCATATCACCCCCAGTCTGTGAAGTGACATAAATAGCAGCACAGAATAAAAAGAAATTTCAGAAATCCTCCGGAGTATTAGGAGGGTGATAAGTTGTCTCACTCCTGATTAATTTTGCCATGCACGTACTCCTTTTCCACTCAGTTTGTGTCAGCATAAGTTGAAATTTACTTTTGCATAATTTGTTTGACTTAAATTGGATTTTGGCAGGTATTAAATTCAGTTCAGTGTATGAGATCTTAGTTTAGACATAAATCCAAATTAATCCCTATAGTAGTTACTGTAATTTCCGGACTATAAACCGCACCCACTAAATGTAAGACGAAAAAACATGTTGTACATAGCCGCAGGTGTCCACGTTGTAACATGAGATATTTCGATCACCTGTAACTTGAAGCGGCATCATATGCATTTCGTCGTGTGTTGTCCATGATGAGGGTGTGCGCATGAAGCGACAAAAGTAGCGACTTATAGTCTGGAAAGTACAGTACTTTGTACAAAATGCTGCCAGTTTATTTATTTGTTCTCAGGGTTTTGTGTGATTTGTTGAATTGGATGTTCAACAAGTATCTATGTTTGTAAACCCTTTATTTTTCCCTTTAAACAAATCATAGCCTTTCGGAGGCATTTAACATTTTGCTGTAACTCACTTAACAGGACCACTTTTTTATCTACTGGATCAGTCTTTTAATATATACACACAGTTATCTTTTTAATGCATTGCCACTCTTGTGGACTTCACATTGTAAATATGTTTTATTGTATAACTTGGCATTTATGTATTCTGTATATTTCTTATGACATTGGGGTAAATGGTGTTGTATTTCTGTTGTCATGGCCACAGTATGTCACTGTGATTTCCAGTGATGGATCCATGCTTTATTTGTTTGTTTGTCATTTTTTTTAATGTTTTCCAGGTGTTCTTGCATTTTTGTTCTTCACAAATAAAATACCAGTAATTCAAGTGGAGGTGCCATCTCTAAATTACTACTGGGTCCCTGTTCTGGTAAGGAATTAAAATATGGGCTGTTTAACAAGTCATTATAGCAGTTCTTCTTGATTTTATGTCTCTGGTTTAGTCTGTGCATAGCATCTATAAAGAGTCTGTAAATATCTAGAGACTGAAATGCAGTTGGAGTATTAGCTGGACAATATATCAATTAGAACTTCACTGCTCTTCCCTGAAATGTACTGATAAAACCCTTTATATAGTAATTGTTTCTCAGTTCTTTGCTTTACTTATGTTTTAACATTTGTCAAACCAATGTTTCGTAGTTTATTCTTAGTTGTGGGAAGTTGTTAAGCTCCATTTAACACTATTCCAGTTACTCCAGATCAGTTGTAGTTTAATTTTAGTTGGTGGATTTAGTTGGAATGCCAATGTTTGTTTTCACTCTGACCTTTTGGTTCTTGCAGACTGTGATTTTTGGATCCTACATGATTGCACATGGTTTCTTTAACGTCTATGCCATGTGTGTGGACACACTGTTCCTGTGCTTTTGTAAGTAGCCTGGTTTCTCAGTGTAGCATGAGAACATGACTTGTACTGAGCACTGCTCTAATGGTTAAATATCAAGTAACCTGTTCAGTGTTAAAACTCTTTCTCTCTTTAAACCTGGCTCTAAATTATAACAGTAATTGGTTCCTGTTTATTCACAGTTTCAGTTCTCTTTAATTCCTGCATGTCCACCTTGATTACTTGTCTCTACTAAGCCTTTGCTTTCCTTCCTCTTCCTGGCTGCCACTCTGTGCGCTGTCTGCTATTGCTACTCCCCCCTTTCCTGTGCTGGGACCTGCTCTCAGGTGAAGACCTGGAGAGAAATGATGGTTCTTCCTCCAGGCCCTACTACATTTCTCCTAGCCTGCACAAGATCCTACGCAAAGGAGAGGAGGATGCCAAATCAAACGCTGCCTCCTGAATGATGTGCAGCCGTTGTGCTAAACTGTTAACTCTCACTCACTTCTCTATATCTGCTGTATGTGTGGGTCTGGACATTTGAGAGCAAGTACTGTAGGGCTAAACATCAAAATTGGATGTATCCCAGCCTGCTCTGGGAGATCCTGGACATGAAAGGACATGCGTTCACTTGAGTTCCTCACAGAAAAGGCACAGGGGACTACAAAAAAAAAAGATCTCTGTTCACTTCCTCTTTTGAGCCAACTCAGATGCTTGCCTTTTCTTCTGCCAGGCTTTTATTCTTTTTTGTTTTTTTTTTCTGTATTCTCTGCTGACCTCTGCCTTACTGAGAGGGGACAAGTCAACTCACAGGATGGATGCACACACAAATATAATACAAATTATATGAGCATTTCTACCCAAACAAACATGAGGATGTTACACTAACGTACAGATGCCACTGATGGACTATGGCATGAGGGATTACCATTTAAAAAAAAAAAAAGTTTAAAAACCTATGGGGAACCCTTTTGTGGCACTTTGGTCTTCTGGTGTAAAATCATGTTTTGTATGCACCTTCACATGTGAGAAAGGAGCCACTTGATTTTACTCCTGTTTGGCATGATTATGTTGCTGGCTGTTGATGTTTGTGATTGGTTTTATAGATTGCATCGATACACCCTATTTATACTAACACAAACATACAGATCCAAAAAATGGTGTGTACAGTGCACTAAGTAAAACAGGTTTCTCTTCTTTTTGCATCTTTTACAAAAGGTCATAATCATGTCAAAGTTTCCATAATGCTCTTAGAACTGTACTGTAAACCAGACAGAGACTTTGTAGGAGGTCAGGACTTTAAACTTTAAAAGACATTTTACAGCTTTTCCTTAAACTTTGAACAGAACCTGACAGTATTCAGGAAACCTTTGAATGCAGCCACTAGTTTATGTGCCTAGTTGTGAAAAAAAAACATTAACAATGTTCCTCTGATTCTGTGGTTTTAGACCTAACACCAGGAACCTTTGTGATACAGTTTATCAAAGGATGTCAAAGCCATTTTTGGTAATTTTTTATTGGATGGTTCAGATGTAGTGCTGTTTTAATACTAAGTATAATACATGCATCTGTTTAGAGGTAATTCAGTGTTCTTTTTGTACAGGAGATGTTTTTTAATCAATGAAATCCGATGAAAATGTGAATTTTTTTTTTTTTTGAATAAACATAAATGGTTGAAGTATTGTGTAGTGCATTTTCACAGTACACTGCTTTAGGCTTATATTTGGCAGTTAATGATTTTCAGACATATCATGGTTTAACTATACAAAGTGGTTCTTTCAACTGTGATTTTAATGTATTGCTGCTGCGTCCTAGTGCTGGATCTGGAGGTGAACGACGGCTCCCCTGACCGGCCCTTCTATATGGACACAAACTTAATGAAGATCCTCAACAAGTAGAACATCATGAGATAGAGATCAAAAGAGATGAGGGTGAAGGAAAAGGACTGAAGGTCATTTACTGTACCAAGACACGGCACAAGCCCATGTGCCTATAAGCATTTTGCCAAATGTACAGTGATTAAAGTGTACACAGGCTGCTACTGTACATTCCAGTGGACAAGCTGTAGATAAGCAGCTGTAATAAGGTGAATCGCTTAAACACTCATAGTTTATGGACTTGTTACTTCTTTGGTATTTAAAGCTAACTCCAGGATGTAGTGTGTCTAAAAACAAGTCTTTGTTTTAGATGCTGTGCAAATTCTTTTACCTAATCTTTGTAAATATTTTAAAGAACTCATAATTATAGCTGAGACCTTATAAAGCCACAGTCATACTACACAGTGAGTTCCTATTGGAAAAAGTGATTTCTTTCTTTATTGAGACTGGTAAACCTCAGCTGCTTTTGTTTCTAGTCTCATGTAGTTGCTAGTTTTTACCACTTGATGGTGTCAGTCATTACCTGAAGTCTTTTGTGTTGTGTTGTTGATGCATGAATGCACTGAAGGAATTTTTCCAGGGTCAGATTCACATCTGTATGTTGTTTTCACAGCTTTTGGCTTCATATCATCTCACATTGAGGAAAATATTTGCCACTTATTGTCCACTTTTTTCATACTTGACTGTCAAGGACATGATGGCATGGCATGCTTCACTCTTCAGTGCCTTGTTCTTAAAATTGCAACACTGAGTGTCTAATTGCATCCTGCAGATACATAGTTTACATTCAAAGATATTTTATGAGATTCATGTCAAAGGGATAGCCAACAGTCTCGATAGAGGTAGTTTTAGTAGAGCAGACTCACCTCCTGTAGGTTTTAAGGGTGGCTGTTCCTTCACAGAATAGTGGCCGTGGTCAGCTCGAATCGATGTCACTTACCAAGGTACTTTAATATTAGTACATTTTTAAAGCACTAACTTAACACTTGTAGTGTAGCCCACTTCCCTTCAATCACACCAGCTTCTGGCTACATAAGAGGCTTTTGTTGGTCACTTGTGTACATGCAACAAACCAACAATCCATGAACATATACAGCTAACTGCATGAGCTACAAAGACAAAAGCTGGTCTGACCTACTGCAGTGTTCTACAGGGTTCTATGGTTATTTACATTTTATATACATAAAGCTTCATGCCTACAGTGGGTAAGTCTGCTCCCAACTAGATAGACTTTGGCTAGAGTATCACTTTCATTTTGAGAATTAATGAACAAAACTTAAGGCCAACATATCATGTTTATATTATGGACCACATTTGAAACAGTGTTGGATCTTTTTATCTTACTCACATTGATCCAAAGTGGGGTTTGTCCCACATTATATTACAAATTATAACATTTTTTGCCAAATAGAACGATTCATCAGATTGATTAAATGATTGTTGTTGTTTTTTAGCACACTCTATAATTAGTATTGGTTGCATAATGAGTATGAGCTCATCTCTGGCAATCTGTGAGGTGCAGCTGAGGTTGTTTGTATGTTTTTTTTTTTTTGGATCTAGAGTCCAGTAAATACTTGAAATACTTGACAAATGAGATATTTTCAGTTTCACTGTTAGCAAGTTGTAGGTAAGCTAACTGATGAAATAAATGATTGACACAGCTGTTGCCAGATTTACACACTGTCCTTGTATTTTTGATAAGGTTTTTTTTTTCCCAAAATGGATTTCTACATCATCTGTGTATGATGCTCCCCTTTAGGTCTTTGAGATATGACTCATGTTTGTGAAACTTTGTGCTGTGTTTGTCAAACCTGAGAACCTGCCCCCATGGGGCCTCAGAGTGACAACACAGACTTACACACCTCCTGCCCCCGTTCGAGCTGAACACGCTGGGACACGTATGACGTTAACCGTTCAGTAAAAGCAAAACAACTATGCTTGTTTTCCTGAAGGGAGAGAAACAGGCTCAGTGTGGCAAATTACACATGTAGTGGGTTGTTTTTCAGTGTACTGCCAGCTGATTTTGTGTTTGTATGTGTATTTTGTGCTTGCAGTTCTGGTTTAGTTCCATTCCCATGAGGGTGAATGCCAAAGATCTGATAAGTGCCCCCCCCCCACATTCTGGAAATTAAATTGTTTTGGTCAACCATAGTCAACAAGCAGACGCAGGTAAAACGTTCTCTTCATTAGAACAGGCGTCAGACAAACTCTTAAAGGTCCAGCTGTGAGATGCAGTACTATAACCTGTCAGTTGGCAGAAAGATGAACTCTATACTGTTTGAATGATTGCACTTCATTTGTGCAGATAGTTTACAGTATAAAAACCTCTGTCATAATATTTATTTGTACTGTAAAAGTTGCATGTATTTCTGTAATAGAATATTGCTTGTGTGTAGGTTCATCACAATTTATACATATCTTATAACTACTCTTTATTAGCAGTTGTTGATCTAATACAAACACCTGAGTAACTTTCTTCCTACACTGAGGGATAAGCACCGCACCATGTCGGCCATCACCAGATATAACCTGTTCTGTAAAATACCGGTTTTCATTCACTTATTCATCTCCCTGGTTTGTGAAATTAGACATTTATTTTCAAAACAGACTTCACATACAATAAATAAATTAAACTGCAATATTCAAACACTGCTATACAAACAATTTCAGGTTCATCTTCATATGTAGTTGACATTTGGGGTCTGGTGGCTTTCACTTAACAGCACAGTCAAACTGTCACCAACTACACAAACAAATATAAATCTATAATGTCATATGTCACAGTCCTGTGAAGTACAACAAAACCTTTCCACATTTTACAGTACATTTAGGACTGTAAATTATATTAAGTGCTTTCAAAGAATATAAACATGAACTGATGAATTACTGACAGTTTAAGAAAAGAAAAGGTTTGATGCTTCCCTGAAAATGAAATTATATTTACCGTGGAGATGTGAATGCTGCTGCTGCTAATGACGGATGATCACTGGTGAGGTCTGACGCTGCTCTGTGTGTGTCTGTGTGTGAGTGAGCAGCTCAGGTGTGAGATACAGGAAGGGAGGTCATGGCATGGGCCGGCAGCAGCGGTTGGAACATGGATGGAGGGGAGTGCACTGCGGGCACACAGAGCAAAAGAGTCACTAGAGTCATTCACGTTAACTTAGAATTGACATTTTGTTTTAACAATTCAATAAATTCACAAAATATTTCTGTAAATGACACATTTATGGTTTATAAATGTTCAGAAAGCTTTAGTCTTTTAATTTTTTTGTCTTAGGTAAATATGAGCATAGAGAATTCATAGCAATATGAAGATACTGATTAATTAAATGGTGCCTTAATATCTATATTTTCATAAAAATAAGTTATTTTTTTAGTGTTGGACAAACAGCAGTGACTATGACTTAGTCTGAGGAAGCCTTTATATTCAAAATTACAAAATACAAATTTGCTTATCATACAATTTAAGAGTTGAATGTGAGGTGAGGAAACATCACTGCTTCTGTGTTAATTTCCTTGTTACAGTATACCATACATGAAACAACAGCATTTCATATGTGATAAGATAAAGTGTATGTGGATTATCTGATATTTTCTCAAAATGTGAAAATAGTCATTTCACATTAGTTTCTGTAGTAAACATCAACCAACAGCCCTGTCGTACAAGCTCATAACATTTCCCCAGATACAGAAACAATGTAGCCAAATCACTCAGACAGTAGTTTATAGAACATCTGGTGCTCACTGTCTATGAAGGAGTGCAGTGCGGAGAGCATTGACCCCTCCTGGCCACCGTAGGCTGTGTACTGCAGCTCCTCAGGGGTCGGGGTGGGCTGGGACAGGCGGCTGGGCTGCAGCGAGGTCATGGGGGTACTGGAGGTGTGGTTGGGGCTCACATGCTTCTTGTGCCTTGCTCGGCAGTTCTGGAACCAGACCTGAGTTGCAGTATGTGTTGAAATAGCACACAGTTAAAGAAGCATCCATTGCCACAGAGTCATACACCTGTGAGCCTTTATACCTCTGTAAAAAAAAAAAGTATGGCTTTATCGGTTTTTCATGGCCTTTCCAGTTTCTTTGCAGTCATACAGTTATATTGTTTTGAGAACCTCAAACTTGAATTTGGCATACCAGAAACTCAGAGTCACTGCAGAGCCCTGAGGTGTTTTCACTGTCAGATTGTTACGCAGGTAAATCATTGTTAGCACCAGAAAGTGTAGTCACACTCTCATAACAATAAACAAATTTGTGTGACTAGAACATCAGCTCTGGAAACAAAGCTAGTTAACATGGTATAGCAAGTAACTGAAGCCCTCCTAGTTAGCTTTATTCTATACTGTATACCAAATATTATACACTTTTGTTACCTTTAACACACTTTGTTATTTCTTGGTTGAATTATTCCCAACACTTTAAATGCATCTGTAAATCCTGCTGTTCTTGACAAAAGCCAGGAAGAGTTTGTTGGTTTCAGAAATGTTCTTTCATGTAAAAAGATCTTACTGTAGGGTGGCACAGTGACACAGTGGTTAGCGCTGCTGCCTCACAGCAAGAGTCCTCTGGGTTCAAGCCCTGGTCAACCCAATGCCTTTCTGTGTAGAGTTTGCGTGTTCTCCCTGTCCTTGTGTGGGTTCTTTCTGGGTACTCAGGCTTCCTCCCAAAGACATGCAGCATATTTTGACTGGCAACTCTAAATTGCCAGGTGTGGGCGTGGGTGGTTATCTGTCTTTAAGTAATAGACTGGTGACCTGATACAGACGTGTGTTGATGTTTATCTGTTGATTTTGGACATGTGTAATCCACAGGGGTATATTATGCCAGTATGTTTTACCTCCACTTTATATTCCATCATCTGTTTTCTTTTCACTGACCTGTATGACCCTTCGACTTAGGCCCGTCTGCTCTGCCAGTTTCTGCAGTGTTTGTGCGTCTGGGTTGTTGTCCTGGGCAAACTGAGCCTGCATCACCTGCATGTGCACAGGGCAAAGAAATCAGTTAAATGACAGATACATTAGCCCCGTTGTCCTGTATGAAAATAGGACAAAATGATTACTGACAGTGTGGAGGTTTGACCAGCATTTTGGATGTATGTGTCAAAAGCACCACTGGTAATAAATCATTCCTTTCAATAAAGACTGTCAAATAGGAATAAATTAATATAGATAAAAGTGATTTTAAATGACTTATAGTAACAGGAAAGCTAAACATTTTGTATAGGTTACCTATAGTATGCTGTGCATGATCTTCAGTGGAATAGTTCAGAAAATTGAAATGATCCTGAATTATGACTCAGAACGAGGAAGCAGCACATCGGGGCTGCTGCTCCTGCTGGGGACAACAGGGTCAGAGTTCTTTTATTCCTTGAACTGTGTCCTGATTTTTGCACACCAGGGAATTATTACTACATATTCACTTCACCTTAAAACCAAGTACCTGAATGTCAACATGTTAAATTATATGGCAGAGCTCTTCTTTTTCTGGCTTTTCCTTTTCAAATTTCTGAGCTTGTTTTAAATGTTTTTACTCAAATTTGTGATTATAATGTAAGTTTAAAGAACAACGCCACTATTTTAGGGCCCAGTATCTTTAAATTGGAGATTTCCTATATGCCAGAAATTGTGTTAGAGCTGTGGAAATTTCACATTTCAAATTTCCTTTCCTCCCCACAGTAGAAGTCACATAGAATTCCACTGAATAATTACAGTAATAATACTTTTTTCTATCACTTAAACTGATTGGGATGTGTGGTGATGGAGCTGAACCTGCAGCTGGTCGGCAGTGAAGCTGGTCCGTGCTCTCTTGGAGGGTTTGGGCTGGTTAATCTCCTGCTCAGTGGGCACAGCCCCCTCCATGTTAACACTGCTCCCTGCAACAAAGAGCAATTTCTTATAGTAAAACATCTTAGGACATTAGCACAGAATTAGAAACACAGCAGATATTCTGTATCTCCAAATTAGATTTTAAATCTTGAAATTAAAAAGAGCAACATGCAATAAATGTATTTAAACCAAGCTATTAAAAAGATAAAATGGACTCCAATATTGTTTTCACATTAAATTGCTTATGTTTAATTTATACCTAGTGATTTCCATGAACCTATTGATCTACTATCAGCAAAAAGAGGAACAAACAGCATACTTACTCTCTCTTCTGTTAGGAATTTGAAATTCAGTTTTAATGAATATATGACAGCTTAGATTTTTTTAAAGACAATATGGGATCTATTTTTATTTAATGACAAAATATAAGCTAGCCAATCTGCACTCTTCAAGCATATAAGAAGTTCAGTGTATTCAATCTGAAATTAGGCCGGCTCACCTTTCTCCACGGCCCGCTTCAGGTTGTCCAGCATGCAGTCGTAGTGGACTTTGCAGAGCACCTTCTGGTCCACCAGAGCGAACTCCTCCCCGGTGGACAGCTGCCTCTTGCAGGAGAAGCAAGCGAAGCAGGCCAGGTGGTACACGTTGCCCTTCGCCCGGCGGACCCAGTCTGTGGAGTGGATGTTTCGGCCGCAGCACGCACACCAGGTGCCGTATCTTCTGCGGGTGAAGGTCGGGGTGAGCAAGTCAGACATCCACATGGAGCATGTAAAGGCTTCACCTCCTAGGAGTGATGGCTGTTCGGCATTTGGGGGCCGGTGTCGTTTTTTAAACTTGAATTTGTACGTTTTGGAGGCCAAAAAATGAAATCATTTAGTGTTTTCTCAGCAGAATTCATGCAAAACCACCACAGACAAACTGTTGTAAGATATAGGCCCTGATAAATTAAATTAATTTAAATAGATTTTATTGAAGTGTCTCGCAGCTTTGCGGTTCATAGTCTCGCCTCGTGAGCGAAGTCACGCAATATTACTAAATCCCTTTGTATTTATCTATCAATCTGTCTTTTTTATGTAATGATGGCGCGTTAAAGCCGCTTTACTTTGAAATTATTGATGCCTTTAATGCCAGTTAACTGAATTTATATAATTACAATTTTAAATACATGTGTAGGAACAAACATTGGCTCCTGCAACTATCATTATTATCATTATTATCATCATTATTATTATTATTATTATTTGTGTCACTGTTATTCCTCAATTTCCGATATGGTGGCAAGTTTACTTTCTGCAACAATTTCGTTTCAGTACCTCCGATTTCCGTTTGATCAGCACTAACAAAAACCGATGCACATACCGAAAGTAATCCAGTTTACAGAAAACCTCTTTTTCTTTGATGTAACAGCTGGCGTGGCTGCCAAGGGAAGTCTGGCACACGCTGCAGGACAGACAGCGCACATGCCAGCACAAGTCGTTAACCTAAAGCAGAAATACGATAAATTAGCGAGAGTCAGGCAGGTCGAAGGTAAACCTGCGGAAAATACACAGCGCGAGTCTTAAAACCACAGGAATCCAAAGACAAACAAGACCAAAAAAAATCCAAAGTTGATTGAAGGTTCTCGCAAGAACACACACAAAAGACAGCGCAAAACAAGCTGCCAGTGTTTACCTTTAATAAATATTTATCCACAATTTCTTCGTTGCAGCTCGCGCACACTGTTCTACCTAACAGAGGTGCAGATGCCATCGACCCGTCTTCATCCAAAACTTCCACCGGCGCGCCCTGAGGGGATCAGACCTGCGGTTAGAAAGCTGCGCAAAGGAACGCAGTCAGCCCACACCTAACGGCATGGGCTTTATGTCGCACTCGGTTTATCGGCCACTGCTGCCAAAGATAGTGAACAACTGCAAAAGAAATAACTTCACAAGAAATCATTTAGTCACTCTGTACCATTTGCACTGTTCCGCCTAACTCCACTCGCTTTAAAGCTTTTCTAAGAACAAGTGCAGACAGCTGAGAAAACAGGTTCAATTTACAGACACCCATTCTTTAATGAAAAGGGGGAGGAACGTTTTGTTTGCGTTTAAGAGCTACTTCCAGATTGAATATTTTCTTAGATGTTAGCTTGAAATATACTGTGTAGAATATGTGTGATATTTGTTCCCCAAATGTTTCCTATTTCCCTGTCCGCACTCACAAATATTTCAAACGTCGTCCGTCGAAAATGGCCTTCTGGTGAATTGTCAACATGTGTGCGAATAAATCAAATCTTAGCTAGAACAACTCACACATTAGCCTACCATTGTGACTCTCCTGTCCTCAGTGCATTTGTCTAGCAGCTCTTGGTCTCCTCTGCAATCTTCACACATGACGAGAAGCTATGGCGGGAAGAGGATGCTGGTCTGTCAGACTGAGGCAGCTGCCTTAAATCAGCCCCCTGCTCCTTCCCATAAATATCATGCCTTTCACTTTTCACCATGACAACGCCGGAGCGATTACCAAAATGACATTTAAAAGAGAAGTAGAGTCATTACTTACAGAAACAGACAACACTTGAACTAACGCTTATCCTATGTGCATTATGTCGTTGAGATCTGCATTTGTGCCTCAGCCGCTGCGTGCCCGCGCGCGCTGTGGTTAAATCCCAACACAACAATTTCACCCGTCAATCAAAAAACCAGCGCGAGGTCTCGGGCAAAAGGGGATTGATTTATTTAATAACAGCAATTAAAAGACTAAGTTCGCCACAAACGTCTACCCCGGGGCAACCAAAAGGTGAAGAGGTCTCATTAACTACTTGAGTTTTAATTGCAGAATTCAGGGAGGGATAATTTTCTTCGACATTTCTTCAAATTGTGAAAATACTGAGCTGTCAGCGTGTGGAAGGCCGGCATTAATGACACACTGAAGCCCACTTTGATTTAACTGGCAAAGCAATTTCTACTATTTAGTCTCCAGTGGGCTGCGGTGGAGCTGTACACTGACTCACACCTCAACCTGCTGATAAGAAGTGTCTGGGGTTGTTTTTTTTTTCTTTACTTACCTCATCGTTGGACAACAGAGACTCGTTGTCGTTCTCGCTAACAATGCAGCACTCTACTTTTACTTCATTTTTCCAGCGCATGTCTACGTCCAGGAGTAAAGCTTCCTTCCCAGTTACAAGTTGGAAGTACAGATTCTTTCTTTCTCTTGTAGGATCGCTCTGTGTGCCAGTCTGCCCTGAGCTATGTCTAGAGGGCGGATCATAATTCATATTTTCATGTACTCCGTGCTTGCGCCTCCCACACGCTTGTTGTGTGGTTTAGTTATATAGTCTACTTTCCACATGTAGCCTAACTCCTGAAATGACACTGACACAAAAACACCATGCATTTTCATGAGCAATAATAACTGGTGGTGAAAGTATAAACACACTTTCATAAGTACTGTAGCCTACTAAGGTATTTTATTTGTGTATTGTAGTTATTGGCTATACTTTATGCTTTTATTCTATCTTTCAGAGGTCAGTGTTTTTTACTCCACTACATTAGACTTTTCACAGTAAGATCTTAAACAAAAATGCAAGTGATTATCTAATAAAACATGATACAATTTAACAGCTGAAGAATATAATATAATATGAGTATACACAAGGAAATGCCTAAAATTAGCTTCCAGCTCACCAATATGCTTATTAGGCTACACAATCAACTATAATAATCCAGTAATATAACATACAATAAATAATAATACTCAGCTAATACTTCTGTACTTGTTTTCTGTAAAAATCCTTAATGCAGGCCAGTTATTTGTAATGAAGTATTTTTAAAATTGCTTATTTCAAAAAGAACGTCCTCCTACACTCGAGCAGCATGTGACCTGTGTATTGAAGCCAGTCAGCGTTTTAACATCTGCTGCCAGATTGTTGACTGTTGTCACTGGTTTCACAGAGTAGAAAAGTACCTAAAGACTTTCAGGGGAATGTTATAGACAAAAATGTCAGTTATAATTCTAAGGTCATAACATGCACATACAGTCAACTCAACACACCTTGCACTTTATAGGGCAGTAGTGGAACAAGTCAGATCTTAGGTAGAAGTAGAAATAAAACCCCTGCAAATAAAAAGTTTACTCATGTAAAATATAGAGAAGTACCGAGAGCAAAATGCACTTTAAAAGTTTAAAAAAATAAACGTACTAATTATACGGAATGGCCCATTTTAGAGCATTATAAAATTACACACAGCATATCATATTCATATATTAGCCTACTACTGCTAGTGCATTAATATTCATGGTCAGAGTAAAGATAATTCAGTTTGCATACTGTTTTATAATGTAATCTATATCAAAACATATTTTATAAACTAATGATATATTTTAAATGTAAAATCTTAGCACTACTACATTTTTTTAACCCTATTCTTCCTAAGGAACAATTTATCTTGCACACAGACTTGAACAAATGACATCAAATATATCAGCTGTTATAAAACCGTGTACATCAGAGCACACTAACATTTAAAGTGGAGTGCATCCATCTGTCATCATCCCAGCTAATCATCCCTGGTTAAAACACGATTGTCGTCAAACACCAATACTGTGCCAAGCTACCTAGCAGCTGATTCCTGAGCATCTGATAGTGTGAAGGCATGTCAGGCAAAATAATTTTTTGGAAGAATTCCCTGGTAGACCAGTAGCGCCCGGGGGAGTGGATCAGATGCGATCAGTGAAATCTTGGTGTGACAAAAAGGCTATAGAGAACAGAGGAATTCCAGGCTACGCAAGTTAAAAGGAAAGGTAAAGATGCTATATTACAGTGTGGAATAAACTGCATCCTGTTTAATTTCTTGCCTGATCTTGTGCAAATATCAGATTACAATATTCATGTGATATCAGTCAAGGAATCACTAAATATTAATTCCAATTCGAATGCATCATCAGCAGTAAGTGTGTGTGAGTTGCTTAAGCTTCAATGTTAATTATTAGCTGATAACAAAGGTTTCATTTCTGTCTGGCACATCATATCTCATATTATTTGCAAGTATGTTTCATTCTTTAAATCATAACACTGAATTGAAGTTTTATTTAAATGTCAAGATTCTAGGTCAAAAATTACAAGTGGCTTTATTTCTAGGTGTTTCTTCTATAAAATAAAATAATGAATTACGGATGCAAAAATATCTGACCTAAAGTTCTGATGCAATTTCAAAACATACATCAGATTTCATAGTCAGTTTCTTTGTTACGTTTATCATTTCAGTGATATTTGTATAATTTAATAACAACTGACATGGCATTCCAAGTTGTAGTTAAAATCATGTAAATGGTAAAAGGTCTTATACTTGTATAGTGCTTTTCTATGCATTGCAGCACAGTCAAAGTGCTTTCACACTATTTGGCCGTTCTACCGTTCGCACTCCCAAGCACTCATACATTCACACACCAGTGTCATACAAAACAAATTTATTTTTATGAATTCTCCCTTCAAAATACAACTAATGTTTTAAGGAGAAGAATAACTGGGGTTTGTTACTTGTCGGGGAGCCATGATGCCCCACCCCTACCCCTTGGGGGCGCCATTGTGTTAGACCCGTATCAGACAATTGAATGTAACACAGTAAAAAGCACAGTATTTCCTTTTGAAATGCAGTGAAGTAGCATACAATATGAATACTCAAATATTACTAAATGCTAACTCAGTACAACACTTGAGTAAATTTATTACTTTATGTTTTTGCATCTTCAGCTGCATCACACTACGTTGCTCAGTAGAAAATAAGGCAGCCCACCTGCTTCTTGTATGCAAATTATGTCAACTTCCAATCTGCATCCAAGCGGCGACTGGGGGTACTATACAGTATGTTCTTTTACCAGGCAGTTCAGATATTTTAAAACAGTTATAAGAACATGATGACAGGAGTCTCGTAACCAAACTGCTCAGGTTACTAGATGGAAAACACGGAATTCCGTACCCTCACTTTTTGTTTTATCTTCTTTTTTCGCACAGTCGTTCAACCCTTTGGTTCATGCTATCTCACCCGTCATCATCCTACATGCACCCTTCTACCACACACACACACACACACACACACACACACACACACACAAAGCAGAATGGCTATTTTCTGTCCTGGGCTGTTCTGATGGGATAACAGTCCCAACCTGCACCGGCAGGAGTCTGCACCCCTATCGCACCATCAGAGAAGCACAAAGGAGTTAGCGTGCCTCCATTGAGATGTGTCCTGTTCCACCTGGTGGAAATGAATGGTCTTCATCAGATTACACAGCTCAAACACTGCATGCTGCAGAACAGACATTTTGCTGAAGCAGCCTGTGAGTCCACCGCACAGAATCCTTCATAGCGAAGGAGACTCTGAACACTGTAACACATCAAAGCAGGAAAAGTTAAGCTGGCAAACTGTTTTATTTTGACCTTAGTGATGATCTCAGAAGAAAGATCAAAGGTCAGACAATGTGAGATGTGGGCAATACAGTGGTTCTGTGCAATATAATGCCAAAACAAATAATAACCCAAAATCACACACATAAACAAAATCAAATGAGCATTTTATCACAGGCAGTAAAATCTATTTCAGACGTGAAAGTTTGTATCACTCCGAAGCAGCGTAGTTAGAATCTCTGATATGAGTACAGATGTGAAAGAGGTACATCAGTTGCCTGTTTTCATTTTTTTAGCATTGCATGGCTGACTTCATAAATGTTTTGCGTGATGTGGACCAGACCAAAACAATGTTTGATCTGTCAACATGCTTACAATCTTGTTCTATTGCTCTGCTGTTTTGCATCTGGATGTAGAGTATGTTAGGCTGCTGTGGTATAAACAGGGCGTTCTATAAATACTCCAATGATAAATGAAAGGTAGAAAGTACCTTAGTGATTGTGACAGCATCTGAGATCTGGGCTGATTGGGTTATCACTTAGAGTGTGGAGGCACAGCTTTGGAGGGTCATGCAAGCAAGAACTAATGGTGTCTTGTTAGTGAGCCCCAGGTAAGTGGCAGTAGCAGAGAGTTTTATTACTGTTCCCATCATTCACTATGAAAGTCTTATAATAGTAATATGGTAACACAACAGTAAGTGTTATTTGTTTTATGTGTAGATTAACATAGCATACTGTACATTTCTTTGTGAAGGACTTGTTGGCAAATAAAAAAATGTACATTTGTTTATGCAGAGCCTATATAACATGCAAAACGTCTCATTTATTGTAATCTCCCCCATTAACACACAAAGCCTCAATATTACACAGTACTAGAAAAATGTAAGAATGATACTGAAAATGCTGAAACTCTAGGTTTTTTTTTTATTACAGTCCAGATACTCCATAAGGAATCTGCCATCCTTAAATGATACAAGTTGCAGAACATCTGACATGCTTTTTTACGTCTATTTCCATTTACAGTTTTACCCTCAAAGTTTCATTACAAAGAGGCGCAGGACACAGTAAGAAGGAGGAATGTAGGAGATGCTGGCCAAGAGAAGCGATGAGCGTTTGGCCCCGGCGAGCCTCTGAGAAAATCTCCTAATTTGCTACTTCCACATGGACCGTTGCTTTCTTCGGGGCTACTCATTTATTTCATTGAAATCAGTCCAAGCTGGGGTGGTTTACAATTGACACAACGAGTTTGGCATGACCTTTTCTCCTTGCTGTAAATGGGTACTCATTGAAATTGAAGGGGGTGGTGGGGCACAGGAAGGGGGG